GAATGTGCCTCATTCTTCCCCGTATCCCCTGCTCTTGGCACAGTAGCTGATGTGCCATACTTTTCCTAAATGAAGGACCTCCTTATGCCAAACATAGGTAGTAAGAATGTGACTTGGGGTCAGTCAAGGACATCTCAGCCTTCAGCAGTGGTGCCTTCAGAATTTCTCTGTAGGAGGGGATAGGAGTCTAGTTGCCATAGTCTAGTTCAGTGGTCGGCAAACTGCGGCTCGCAAGCCACATGTGGCTCTTTGGCCCCTTGAGTGTGGCTCTGCCACAAAATACCACGTGTGGTCACACACGTACAGTGCAATTGAAACTTTGTGGCCCATGCATTGTAGTTGAACGAAGGACCCAGAGGCTAACCTTGGAATAGTGGTTGTGTAACATGGCAGATACTCTTGTGAAAACATCATTTGTTCATATCAAATGATGGCTGTGGAGGGACAGGTCTGATACAGACATTGATGGGATGCCCCATCAACATGCAAGCTACCCATCCTCTCTGTCTCTGGCCTTGGCATTTCTGCTGTCACTCTTCTTACCCTGGACAATGCCAGGCCTAAAGAAGGGGCAGAATCTGCCAGCAACTGCCAAGTCTTTCTTCGCCTGAATATGTCTGAAGTGCTAGTAATGGAAAGACAAGGAGGCACCTTGAGCTGGCCTTCCAGGTGACGTCTTCAGATGGATGTGACTCGTGGCAGACCTTTTAGGAGCTTGGCTGCCAGTTAGAGAGCACAATGGAGCTGGACTTTCCACGGGGTAGAAAGGTAACGAAGGCTCTGTGACATAACAGATAAATGAGATGCTGCTCAGGCTGCGGGTCAAGCCCAGCTCTGTTAGCTCACGGATCAGAGGCACGTCGCTTAACCTCTTGGTCTCAGTTAGCTCATCTGCAAAATCCAGTCAACGAGAGAGACACCTGTGCTGCCGATGTCATGGGGCTCAGTGAGCATCACATGCAATGATAAGGTATCACCAAGTGTATTGTAAACTCTACAATGTTTGACTAATGTGGACGGTTAATTTTGTTCTCTTCAGAACCTTAAGTGATTCATTATGACAATCTTATTCGAAGGAACGTGGTTTGTTAGGTTACAAATAAAAGGTCTGGGGTTAACATGGGGAAGGAAGTTGTTAAAATAGATGTTACTCCAGATTCTCAATTACATATAGCCATTAGAATTATTTTTAATTATATGGCCTAAGAGTCCATTTTTATATAAAATTTAAATTAACTCAAGGTTCCATTTAAACAGCAAGTCCAATGGAATGAAATAATCTATGTGTTACACCTCTGCATGCTTTTCTCATTCAGTCCTTGAGTGAAAACCATCAGGCAGTGGGAAGTCTACATCTCAAGAATGAGAGTTATTTTAAACATTGTGTTTTCATCTTTAAAAATGAAAATAAATAAATAAATGAAAAGTTGTGTTTAAGGAGAAAATGAGTCAGTACATTATATGAACGATGTTAGCAACAATGTGCCATGAGGTCAACACATTTGAAATGTAAATTGTGAAACTTAATTATTAACTTTATTTTAATATTTGCCTACCAGTGAAGATAGTGGGGACCATTTTAATAGCACCAAGTTTCAATTCTAGGAAGCCCAGAAGCTTCATTTGAGTTAGAGTTATTACTCCTGTGAATTTGAGAGAGTCTAAAGGATTGGCATAGTTTCACCAAATAATGTAAAATGATGGAAGCAAGCTAAGGAAACAAGGAGTATTTAGGGTCCAGCCAGATTTGGGAGAGCACCCAGCATGCTGGCCATCCTGTTACCATCTCATTACCTTGGACCATTATCCTTTGGGAGAGAATCAGGTTGGTAGAGAGTGGGCAGAAAAGACTGAAATGTGCTGAGTCCTACACGAGCTGGGCCCTGTCCCCTTCGCTGGTCTCCTCTCCTGCTCCTCTCTCCACCCTCGCTGGTTCAACCAAACTGTTAGACAGCCTTGGGCCACTACCCCTCTTGCTCCTGTATTTCCATCTGCCCGGATGGCCCCTCCTCATCCTAGTTGCCTGGGTGACTGCTCCTCTTCTTCAGGACTCAGATCAGAGCTGTTTCTTTGAGAAAACCTTCATTGAGCTTCTTTGCCAAAAGCTGGCTGGTCCCTCCTGGGCTGGCCTATGGAGACGTCTGTTGCCATTCCTGCCACAATGCCTTGAAATTAGCTCTGTCTATGGGTTGTCCCACCAGACTGTAAGCTCCCTGCAGGCAGGAACTTGGCATTTCTCGTTATTCTGTTCCCAGCACCTAGCACAGTGCCCACCACCTACTGCTCAGCCCGTGTGTACGGGAAAAGCATTGCATGGTTGGGAGGGAAATCACCATGCTCAGGGTCCTGCTTTATGCCAGGCACTACTGCTCATCTGAAAGCTTAAAGGGAAGAGTTGAATGTGAGTTAGCCAGGCTAAGCTGCTTTCAGCCAAAAGAGCCTTTGGTACCTCTTAAACCGGGCTTCGCCAAACTCCAAAGAAAGTCCTGCTATTAGTGTTGTCAATAAATCTGCAAAGGAGATACTACCATCTCCATTGCCCAGTGAGGGAACTGCAGCTCTGAGAAGAAGCAGAGATAGATCGGAGGTGGTAGAACCCAAACATATGCCCAGGTGGGCACCTTGTCTGGCCGCCAGAGCTCCTCACCTGTCTGTAGGAGAGAGCGTTCCCTTCTTCATGGTGAGTTGTAGAGATAGGAATTCAGGTGCAGGGACCCTGCATGGCAAGCAGGTGAATGCGCCCTGTCCTTTCTAATGAGTGGTTTTAGGTTCCCCCAGTGAGAGTTGTGCAATCCGAAGAGGAGCAGAGTATTTTTCCCTCAGTGGGCAGGTTTGCACAAAGCATATGATTATGTACTTTAAGTCAGGCCACTGGGATCCTGGCCGGGGACTCCCCATGGTCTCTGCAGCTGGGAGAGTCTGCAGATTCATTTCTAAGTGTATCTTAAAGGGTTCCTCCACAGCTACTGGCTGGCGTCACTCAGACACTCCTGGGTGTTGCAGATGACACGGTGTCTGCAGCCATGGAGTTCTGAGGACTGATTAATAGTGTGTGCACTGGGCTGTTTCTGATGCCCTTCCTGGTATTAAATACTATGATTTCTTTTCCTCCAACTATATTTTTTATTCTCAAGACAGACTTTTTCAGGAACTGTCATCTGACTGCATACCCCGCATGGAGAAAACTTAAGTCTTAGCCTCTGTGAGGTCACCTCTGTGAGGCTCAGTTTACTCATCTGTAGAAATGAGGATGATGATGATGCCTTCTTCTCAGGGTCACTGTTGTTGGGGGCATGCACGGAGAGGTGGCCATGAAGTCTTACTGTACTTAGTGTGTGAAGGGCTAAGTATACAAGTGAACACACGCATGAAAGAAAAACCAATGATGTGACTGCCTTCTTGTGTTATCTCCTGGAGAAGGGAGACAGTGCTGGCATCGGTGGTAAATACGTGTGAAGGGTCTTAGTTTTGCTGATGGGAGGTGGCCAAGCACTGATCTCCTGGACTGAGTCTGAATAAACAGCCAGACACATTGAAGCAAGAATTGATTCTGGCCACATCCCAGGTGCTGTCTCTAGGGCCATGAGGTGTAGCAATGACCAACTGGGCTTATTATTTATGTAGGGATGTTGAGAAAGAGAAATACTTATCCTCCTAGGATGCTGTGTTTCAAGAAGTACCCCCGCAGCAGCAGTATTCCTCCTGGTGACATCATTATCTTTTATGTCTTTTCAGGCTGTGACCCAATTAGAACTTTTTGGGGACATGTCCACCCCTCCTGATATAACCTCTCCCCCTGTAAGTATGCACCGCCCTCTGTGCCCGGCATCCCTGCCCTTCCCTTCTTCGGTCTCCCAGGGAAAAGCATGTGCGCTTTGTAGCAGAGGCCTGATGGTGGAGGTCAGCCCTGGCTCCTTCAAGCTGTGTGATCTGGGAAAAATAACTAGTGATTCTAAATCTCAATTTCCTAGGCTATGTTTTAAGAGGAGTTATGATACAAGCTTCTGTTTTTAGAAATAGATACATCCGTGCATTAGCAATTACAGGTCACCAGGGGACTTGCTATTATGCTGGGCAGCGGAGACATGAATGGGATGTGGCTGCTGATTGCAGGAGCACATTACCTAGGTGGGTATAGGGAGGAAACTCAACAGGACAGCAAGGCCGTGAGGCATCTGACAGCACCTACCCGCATGGCCAGGTGGTCAGCCCAGTAAAGGAAGCATCTTCTCCCGACCCTTTCTTCCTTTCCCTCTCTCCTTTCTTTCTGACTTCCTCTCTCCTCTTTCCTCTATCTCTCTCTCTCTCTCTATCTCTCTCTCTCTCCTCTATTTCTCTCTCTCTCTCTCTCTCTCTCTCCATCTCCACCTCAGTCATTGCTAGCAGGGAGACAGGTTGCAGGAAGTCCTCATTTGAAAATGAAAAGAAGAAAAAAGAGTATTAAAACCAAAACCAAATAGAAACCCAGAGAACTGGGTGCATTCAAAGGCCACCCTGCTGCAGCCACTGCAAACAACAGAGCCAGCTAGATGGCCCCTTCAGCTCCTCCCCCGACTCTCCACTCCCTGAGATGGGTGGGGCTCATTCAGCACAGCTGCACCAGCTGAAGCTGCTGGCAGTGGGCTGCTCCCCAGGGCACTGTGCAAACCCAGGGATGGTGCTGTGGTTCATTGGCGAGATGCGCCTCACAGAGAAAAGGCTGTAACCTCACCACAGAGGACAGATGGCATTAAGACCCTGCTGCCCCCAGCTGCCACCAGGGAATCTAGACACAGCTGTTCTGCCCCCAACACCTGATGCCCAGAGCAGCCATGAAGGCGGGGACAGTAGCTCCTGTCTCCAGGGAAGCCGGGCAGCTCTAGCCAGTCTCATCCCTGCTCCATCCCTGGGCGAAACAGCTGTGTCCTGGGCACTGGTAATGTCAGAACCCTGGGCTATGGAGCTAGAAAGGCCAGAAGGGATCTTCTAACCTTATTCCCTTCATTTTACAGATGAGCAGACTGAGGCCCATAGAGGGCATGTGACTCACCTCATAGGGGAAAAGGGAATGATGTTGATTGTGTTTAAAAGTGCTTACGGCAGCATCTCATGGCTGTGTTCCTGGCCCTGAACCCCAGTGCAGTCCAAATGGGTATTTAATTATCCTCAGAACAATGCCCTTCTTCTTACAAGCTGCTAGTCTAACAGCCTTGTCTAATCGCCATGGTTTCAGGATTAATTGCTTGCCCCAGTCTATCCTCAGGGTATGTGTGGGGGGAAGGAGGGGTATAAGAATGTTATGTCATTGAATAGATATACACTATAGGCAAAGGGCCTCAAATAGGGAAGGATCTTTAAAAAGAAATTGAACACTGATGGCTTTAATTCAGTGCCCCTCACCTTCCCCAACAGTTCACGCCACAGACTTTCCTGGAACCCCAGCCTGGGCCAGACACTATGCAGTTTCCAGCTCAGGCATTTTTTTAAAAAATATCTTCTTGGAAATCTACACTTCTTCTTGCAAGTGAATATTCAGGCAAGATTTAGGGAGGCACCAGGATACAAGGACCTCTGCTCCAGTTCCTAAACTTTATTTGTTCATTTTGTCAACAACTATTTACTGACTGTGTTTTAAGTGACAAGCCCAGAGCTGGTGGGTGCACAGTAGTAGATTCTGAGTCGATTATGTCAATTTGGATTGACTGCATCTAAAGGAGGAAAGCCAGGTATTATGGGATAATTTGAAGGCCTGAAAACACCCCTAAGGGGTGGGGCTCAAACTAAATAGTCACAATACTGGCCTTCGTTTGCTGAGCACCTACTATATGGTGCTCAGTGATTGCATCTACAGCATGGTGCTGAGTGATTTGAATGCATGACCTCCGCTAATCCTCATAGTTGCTCTAGGAGTAGATATCACTTTGCCCATTTTACAGATAATCTGTGTAATCAGCTAGTGGTTTGCATACCACCTAAGTGGCCGGACCCTGGCTGGTTTCTGCAGCATCCCCCCTACCCCCCAAACACACACACACACACATACACATGTTCCTGCACCAGCTGCCTCCCATCCTGGATGATCGCTGAGCCAGGTCTCCCAGGAGCCTCATGCATCCTCCCTCTCTCTCTGACAGACTCCTGCAACTCCAGGTGATGCCTTTATCCCGTCTTCATCTCAGACACTTTCGGCGAATGCAGACATGTTTGGTTCTGTATCTTTCGGCACTGCTGCTGTACCCTCAGGTAAGCCCTCTTTTTTCCACCTGCTTCCCTTCCTTTGCAGAAAGGGTTGGACCAGCCGCCAGATGTGCCAGAGCACCTGTGGAAGCACCATTGTCTCGTAACTCTTCAGGTGACACTGAGAAGCTGCCATGGGGTGGCGGGTGGGGTGGTGCCTTTCACAGAGGTCTGGTATGCTGCTGACTGGAATACAGTGATGGCCTTCACATGGAATGGTCAAGATTCCATGTTACTCAGGTGGTTAGATTTAGGGAACCTGGTGCACACACAGCCATGCAGATCAGCACAAGTCCATTTCTTCCTGTCCGTCTGAGCCAGAGGAGAAGAGGTGGCCAAGGAGAGTGGGTGAGTCTGTTCTCCAAAAGCCTCTTGCATTCTGATGGACAGATGTGATCTGCCTTCTGGTTTGGTGGAGATTCAGGAGGGCAAGGGTCCCCATACAGGAAACCTAAGGGACAGAGCAAACTATTTCATGGTGAATTGGGAGGAGGATGGGGCTGTTAGTGATTTAGAACAGCGGTCACCAACCAGTGGTCCATGAGGTCCGAAAGGTTGGTGACCGCTGATTCAGAAAGTATTTGTTCTCTTTTCCAAATATTCTTTTATGAAAAGCATAGACTACTTTACAACAGGAACAGTATTAAAGGTGAGCTACAAATCGTGGGAGCTCAGGCATCATGTTTGGATGGCATCAAGCACTCCATGTGGCCAGTCCTCATGGCGTGGACATAGCCAAAGATGGGACTAGTTTTGCTTCTTGCATGTGGGGGAGATTTAGACTTTTTCGCTTTCATTAACTACATATTTGAAATTCATAGCTTCATCTTTCTTTTTCTACTGTAATCTTGTAAATAGGACATGGAGTTTATTATAGAATACAAATCTTCTTGCATTTTTTCTATAAATAATTACTTTTAATTACACAGTGTTAGAAACAAATTCTTCCCACCAAATATAAATCTCATTGTTATTCAAAGTGAATTACTAATGTAGACCCTGTTCTGAAATAGTTACACTTACTCCTCATAAGCCCAGGGATCACCAGGAACTTTGAGAAGTAGCAAAGTTCAGTAGCCACTGGATCTGCTTACAATTTAGAAGATGCAATTCTAGCCTACAAATGCATTCAGTTGCTAAGTTTCCCAGTTGAATGTTTTATCCACCTTTAAAACAGGATAATGGTGAGGAACAGTTTTATTTACCCAAAAAGGATCTTTAAATTTCCTTGTGTGTCATTTTAAATAAGAGAAGCAGTTTCCATCAGAAATGCACCATGTTCCTGTGCTGCCAGCCCTGAATCCCTGTGCTGTGTCATTCATGAAGATATGCTGCACAAGTGATGGCAACCCAGGCACTAAACTCACTAATTCCCAGGCATATTTGTCCCATAGATATTTATTGAGGGCCCACTGTGTTCCAGGTTCTGTTCTAGGTGCCTGAGGTGTGTCCAAGAATACAACACACACACACAGATCCCTGCCTGCAAAGAGCTTACTTCCTAGCAGGGAGACAAAGAACAACATAGAAATAACATGTGAGACAATGATAAGCGGTATGGACAAAGAGAAAATGTAGAGCTGGCTCTGAGGGCTTTGGAGCCGGTGAAGGGCAGGTATGAGTAGAGGTTGTAATCAGGAGGGGCTCATACTAAGAAGAGACGTGAGCAGACTGGGAGTGGTGAGGGCGAGAGCCAAGCAGGTATCGGGGTTAGGAGTACTCCAGGCAGAGGAGGGATGATTGGCCCCTCCAGTCTCCATTCCCCTCCCTATAAGTGAGAGGGTGGGATTGGGTGCTTGCTCATGTCTTCAAGCCCTAATATTTGATGAGAAGCACCTGATAAACTGCCTGTGCCAGGTAGCACTACCCTGGGCCTGTCCCCAAGCCTGTGCCAGGGGAGGGCTTTGAAAGCCTAGATTTTAATCTTTCTGGTTGACCAGCCCTGTTGCAAACTATGGACGAGCCATTTCTGCACATCCAGATTTGGTTTATACAGCTACCAAAAAAAAAAAAGTGATAGGTTGGTTCCAAGCTTCCAAGTTTTAGAGCATGAGTCTAAAATTAATTTTAATTAGCATATTTTTGCTTTCTTACTTTACTTAAAATACAGTGAGGAGCAAAACTAGGCTTCAGTTGGTGTTAAATGATTTGCCTTTCTACTTCCTTAACTGGCCTTAAAAATCTCTGCAGCTATTGCATCTCTGTCCACCTGTCCCTAATTATAGCACCAGTGACAGGTGGACGGGGCAATGGAGTGGGGCATGTGGTACAATGGACAGGTTGTGGGAGGCGTTTGCAGCCAATGGACTGGGTCTGAATCCTGGCTCCCCCATGTATTTACAAGCTTTAGGCAAATTATTTCACCTGTCAGAGCCAGAGCTTCTTCATCTCTCTAACTGAATTGAAAATAATAGTTGCCTGCAACAATATCATGAGGATTAAATGGAAACTTAAGTACCTTGAAAAAGGCTGGTATTTTGTAAATGCTTCCTGTAGAAAATTCTATTATTATTATTATTACTCTGATTCCTACAATAGAAGAAAATTCATCTTGTCGTACCTCTATTATTTCCCTTTATCTTCTTGCAATGTTTTTTTTTTGTAATGAATCTAATAAAGCTTAGGTCCTTGGCTTCCTGATTGCACATGGCAAAGCTGGCCCCAGAACCTGGGGGCCTGGAGAATGTGAGACCCCACCACTAACCAGCTGTGTAATACTCAGCTCAATCCCTTCTGAGCCTTAGGAAATGTATCTGTAGAATGGGAATAAGGATTCCACCTGGTGGGGCTGTTCTGAGGACTGCATGAGTTAATACATGTAGCAAAATATTTAAAGCAGTGCCTGGCAGTGTTCCATAAGAAACTGTGGTTCCATAAGAAACCACTCACCTAATGTTTGCTACCTGTTCAGCGGGAGCCCTGCTCTGCTACCCATGCTCTATGTAGCTGCATCAAACCTCCCCCATGAAGCTGCAGTTTCTCTAAAAATGTAAGCTCCACGAGAGCAACGATTGTTTTCACTGTTTTGTTCTTCACTGAATCTCCAGCATCTAAAACAGTTCTGGCACCCAGTAGGGATATTTCTGAATGAATAACTGAATCAGTCAGTCAGTCAAGTGAAATAATGTAGATGAGAGGCACCATGCAAGTTCTATATATATTTTGGGTACTCCCTTGGTTTTCAGTGTCTTTCCTACATTTTAGTCTGATATTTTTTTTCTTTTTAGCAAATAATGAGCATGTCCCCAGAATATACGAGCATCTGGTTATAAATTGCAATTTTCAACACTTTTTAAAAATCTCAGTGCAAGGCAGTGATGCAGGTGTTTCTCTTCACTTCACAGCAAGGAGGTTTATGATTGATCTCAATTCAGTGGCATAAACAGATGCTCCTTGGCACCTCCTCCCTCTGCTGTGGAACGTTAATGAGTAAACAGTCTGAGCTGTTATGTGGCTGCAGTGGCAGCCACCAAGTGGCTCCCTGTGTCTGGGGCTGCCACAGTCCTGCCACGGAGGTGTCCCATCAGGCATGTGTGATGCTGTGTGGCCAGAGCACCTAGGAAGCAGGTTTGGGAGGAGCCCAGGCGGCAGGCACTGCCCCCCACAGGAAAAGCAAGTGAGACCTGCATGTTCTCCAACATGATGCCTAGTTACCCTGTGCTGCCTTTTTTCCTGTTGAATATTGTACTTTGGTCTGAAACAGATGGCATGAAGCCACAGAGACATGCTAATAGCTCTCTCCAGAAAAGTGTGCTCAACCCATCTGTTAGTTCCTTGTAGGAAAAAAAAAAAATGATGAGGAGGGGGGAAAAATGTCCTGCTACCAACAGTAGATTCACCAGAGGTCACAACACTTACAGGCCTTGGAGTCTAGTTGCATCCCTGGAAGGATGCAGTTAGGTATTCATTCTACTATGACTCACTCACCTTATAGAGAGCCTTTCCCCAGCTCAAGCTTTTATGGAGCAGCCAATGTGTGCCCCAAACTGTGCTAGACACAAGGGCTAGGGGAGAGAAAATAAAGCGTTTCTGCTAGAAGGTGGTTTCTAGTCTAATGAGGAAAGGCAGAATAAGCAGGCAATTACAAGGCAGTGTGACAAGTGCCATGAGAGAGATGAACATGAGGACTGTGGAAGCTCAGAGAAGAACCAGTGAGCCAAGAGGTCAGGGAACAGGGAGGTGATGCTAAACTGAGTTTCAAAGAGTATATAAGGGGTAGATACACAAAGAAGTAGGAGATGCTTTCTAAAGGCAAATGGACCAGCAGAGGCGAGAGAGAGCAAGTTGAGTGTTGTCTCCATTGGCTGGAGGAAAAGGTGCCAGTGGGAAAAAGATTTGAAAATGGGGATGGAGTGCTGGGTCTAGCAAAAAGGGGAGGCAAGATTCAAACCCAGCCAGGCCTGGTTCCTAGTCCTCTGCCCTTCCCACTGAGACACTCTGGCTGTGGAGGCTGTGTGATGTCAGAAGCCTTTAACAACTGGCAGTATTGCTCTCGCCCCCACACATTGCCTGGCTTGCTCTCTCACCACAGTCTAGTTTCTGCTTACGAGTCATCCCCTTAGAGAGGTTTCCCTGACCACTGCTCTGGCAGGCAGGCTTCCTGAGAGCAGGGACTTCTGTCTTAGTCATCCCTGCATCCCCAGTCCCTAGCACACAGCTGGACACTCAGGGGTTTGCTCAGTACCTTTTGGCCAGTCACCTGACTCCAGGAATCATTCCTTCCCAGGATGCCTGACTCTCCTTTTCCACCTTTCAGGTTACGTTGCTATGGGCGCCGTCCTCCCATCCTTCTGGGGCCAGCAGCCCCTCGTCCAACAGCAGATCGCCATGGGTGCTCAGCCACCAGTCGCTCAGGTGATGCCAGGGGCTCAGCCCATCGCATGGGGCCAGCCGGGTCTCTTCCCTGCCACTCAGCAGCCCTGGCCAGCTGTGGCCGGGCAGTTTCCGCCAGCCGCCTTCATGCCCACACAAACTGTTATGCCTTTGCCAGCCGCCATGTTCCAAGGTCCCCTCACTCCCCTCACAACCGTCCCAGCCACGGGTGACTCCACCAAGTCAAGTCCACAGACCGACAAGCCCAGACAGAAAATGGGGAAAGAAATGTTTAAGGATTTCCAGATGGCCCAGCCTCCACCCGTGCCCTCCCGCAAACCCGACCAACCCTCCCTCACCTGTACCTCAGAGGCCTTCTCCAGTTACTTCAGCAAAGTCGGGATGGCACAGGATACAGATGACTGTGATGACTTTGACATCTCCCAGTTGAATTTGACCCCTGTGACATCTACCACACCATCAACCAACTCACGTGAGTGCCCTTCCTAAACCTAGTGCTAGTGATGCCTTGTGTCTAGGCTCAGAGAACTAATCTTAGTTATCTATATACTAGAGGCCTGGTGCACAAAAATTTGTGCACTCGGGGAGGGAGTTGTCCTTCAGCCCGGCCTATGCCCTCTTGCAGTCTGGGACACCTTGGAGGATGTCCACCTGCTGGCTTAGGTCTGCTCCCTGGGATATCAGGCCCAAGCTGGCAGTCAGACATCCCTCTGGCAGCCCGGCAGCCCTTGGGGGATGTCCA